ATGCACAAGCAAGTCAAGCTTTAAATACCTTTCATAAAACCTTATTTATAATTAAGATTCCTCACAACATAGGCCTATTGTTTGGAAGTTCCCATGGTGACAGCACCATACGTTTAAACGGATGATAAATAAAAATAAATAAATAAATACAATTTTAAAAAAGCAGAAGAAAGAGCAATTTGTGGCAACTGTACATGATTCCTATAGAATTAGTTGTCCTAGGTTCACCTGAGGCCAATAAAAGTCTTGCTAGTCTTTCTTTCATTGTTACATTTCATTGTTTCAGTGAAGATAGTTTCCAGCAGGCTCTGAAACGTCTTTGTTTTTCTCAACTTTTATGGTAAGCTGAAATGTAATCTTTCAGAGGATGAATTACAGAGTGAGTTGAGTATTATTCACCATTTTTATCAAATTGTAAAGATGAGTAGGACACCAGAAAGCACTGCTTCCATGAGCATGAAACAGAGAAGAATAGTGTTGAAATACTACTAACAAGCCAGCTGTAATATACGCTTGGGGTCATTTTCCATCATTATACTTATAGCTCTGAAGATATACATATATGAATCAGCCTTCGGGGCTTTGAAGTAGCTCTCTAAACAGTAAGCTTAATCAGTAAATACTTTTTTTCTTTGTTCTAGAGGGGTTCTGACTGGCCCACTTTGCTACCATTTGCATGAGCTGTAACTTCACCAAAATGTTGAAAATACAGTAAGAATAAACAATGGAATGCATCAGTTGAGCCAAGGGCAATATATTCAAGAAGGCAGAAATTTTAATGAGCAATGAGGCAGTGTTTTTGACAGTCTTCTCATTTATCAAATTCATGCACAGAAAGTCTACTCCTTTTTTCCATTTTACTGCTGAGATAAAACAATTGTTTTTTGAATCCCTTAAAACTTGATACAGATTTAGACTATACAAATATTACAATATGTTTCCTCTCTTTGCATTCAGCCAGCTTATTAAGTGGTCTACGTATTGTTGTGTAGTTTTGTTGATGATGTTGTTGTTTTGAGGAAATTGTCAGATTGTCATATCATCCACAAATGATAAACTAATCGAAAATGTCTCTGAAGGCACGCTTGTGTATGATTTCAATGAACCACCTGGTTAGCAGCTAGGAAGCTGAATATATATTCGGTTACTGATACCAGAGACTAGACTACAACTGTCAGACTTTGTTTCTGTCTTGTGTTGTGTTTCTATGCCCTTATTTGGTTTTCCTGTTCCTGTCCTGATTATTTAAAGAGGTCATATGATGCTGCTAAAAAGAACATTATTTTGTGTATTTGGTGTAATGAAATGTGTTTATGCGGTTTAAGGTTCAAAAAACACATTATTTTCCACATACTGTACATTATTGTTTCTCCTCTATGCCCCGCCTTTCTGAAACGCGTCGATTTTTACAAAGCTCATCGGTCTGAAAAGCGAGGTGTGCTCTGATTGGCCAGCTATCCAGTGCGTTGTGATTGGCCGAATACCTCAAGCGTGTGAAGGAAATGTTACGCCCCTTACCATATTGTGATGCCCTGTCCGGCCGGAGCTACGAGACAAAAACATTAAAACTCATTATAAACGATGCATTTTTTGCATCCAGTGGGGACATAATTACGGATTATATATATATAATTATATAATGACTTATACTGTCTTTTTACGCGTTGCATTGCATCGCGCCACGTAAACATAAAACCAGGTCTGAGATACCCAACCCTACTCACGGCCCTCTTCCTTGCCCGAGAGCACCCCCCAGAGCTCGCTCCAGTGTCGGCTCCAGTCCCCGAGTTTAGCCCACAGAGGGCTCCTGTCCCTGAGTTTAGCCCAGAGAGGGTTCCAGTCCCCGAGTTTAGCCCACAGAGGGCTCCTGTCCCTGAGTTTAGCCCAGAGAGGGTTCCAGTCCCCGAGTTTAGCCCACAGAGGGCTCCTGTCCCTGAGTTTAGCCCAGAGAGGGTTCCAGTCCCCGAGTTTAGCCCACAGAGGGCTCCTGTCCCAGAGTTTAGCCCACAGAGGGCTCCAGTCCCTGAGTTTAGCCCAGTGAGGGCTCCAGCCCCCGAGTTTGGCCCAGTGAGGGCCCTAGTCCCCGAGTTTGGCCTAGTGAGGGCCCCAGTCCCCGAGTTTGGCCTAGAGAGGGTTCTAGTCCCCGAGTTACCGAGGTCCTGACTCTCTGTGGTCATTAAAAATCCCATGGCACTTCTCGTAAAGAGTAGGGGTGTAACCCCACAGTTCATCTCATTTTGCCCCCCTGGCCTTTGTCAATCATGGCCTCCTAATAATCCCCTACCACTTGATTGGCTCTATCTCTCTCTCTCTCCTCCACCTGTAGCTGGTATGTGGTGAGCGCACTGGCGCCGTTGTCCTGTGGCTGCCGTCGCATCATCCAGGTGGATGCTGCACACTGGTGGTGGTTGAGGAGAGACCCCCCGCCCCCGCCATGGCTTCCTGAACTGCCTGTTCCGCCATGGCCTCCTGAACTGTATGCTCCGCCATCGCTTCCTAGTCTGCCTGCTCCGCCATGGCTTCCTAGTCTGCCTGATCCATCCTGGAGGTATTCCCTGTGTCCCAGTCCTGCACCAGCCTCCAGGGCGCCCACCCCCCCCCTCCCTGGTGGAATTGTTACGGCATGGGACGCGCCTTCCGGGAGGGGGGGGAGTAATATCAGACTCTGTTTCTGTCTTGTGTTGTGTTTCTATGCCCTTATTTGGTCTTCCTGTTCCTGTCCTGATTATTTAATGTATTTCCAGATGTTCCCCGTTGAGTTTATTGATCCCAGGTGTGTCCCTTTAGCTCCCTTTATATTTAAGCTGTGTGTGTTTCCATGTTTCCTCGTCTGGTATTGTGAATGTCTGTTGAAGTCATTAAAATCTCCTTATTGATGTATTCCCCGTCTCCTCGTTCCACGCTCCAACACAGTAGCAACGTGACAACAACATGGATAGATAACTCATAGGTCTAACCTTTTGTCACAGAGATTCTCCAGTCTGCTGTAAACATTTGCTATTGGAGAGGTCTAGCCTTTGAGTCTCTTAAGTGGCCCTGAACTTGCTCTGTGGTTAATCTCCTCAGGGTAAGTAAATGGAGTAATCGACTTGCAGCTGGCAGAGCAGAACAATGGAACGAAAATCTGTCATCTGAGCCGTACCCCTGAGCGGAGGAGGCAAACGGATAGTCAGCACTTAGAGGTAATCCAAGGAGGCATCAATATCTGCCTTCATTCTGATATCTCTGTGAGGTCTGATGGCAATTTAGAATGGCCTTTCCTCTTGTTTATGCTGTGATTCCTAAGCATCATACAGTACAGTATATTAAAGGAACCGTTCCTCACAAATGAAAATGATGTATTTTTCTGAAAATTTACTCACCCATGTCATTCCAAACCTGTATGTCTTACTTTCTTCTGTGGAACACAAAGGATATTTTGAAAAATGTTTTGTCCATACAATCTCAAAAAAAAAAAAAAAAAAATGTACAAAAGCCAAGATTATGAGTTAACATACAGTACAATGATATATTCTATACAGTGTCTGCACCACGAGAGGGCCTGGGGTCCTGTTGAAATTGAAATATTAGAAAATAATGCACACCCAAGTTAATTCAACCAGAGTCATTTATTCCGCTTATGGTTACAACTCCTCAAGACATTGTTCAGATGTTGTTTTTCAAGACATCTGTCAGGTTTTTGTCATTAAAACAATCTTGTATCTAGGACTAATTTCTTATGCACCTCATTCAACGCCTCCGTTGCCAATTCCAAAACGTCATTTTAGAGCTAGTAATGGAAATTTGAGCCACTGATAGCAAACTAATGCAGTTATTAATGCAGTTATTAGAGAAAGTACGTACAGTATATATGTACACACACACACACACTAGTAGGAAGCTTCACTGGTGTTAATCAAAAGAAACCGTTTATTAATAATATATATGATCTGAGAAGTGGGCCACAGCCTATCTCATCCATCTCTATTAGCTTCTAATATAAACAATGCCTCTGCCTGAGATATTGCATTTTTTTCACAATTGAGCACATTATGGACAGATCTGTCATTCAGTTCTGCACATATAATAATCACAAACATTAAAAGCATCAAAAGTAATTAACTCATACGTGGTTAAAATGTTCTGATATGAAAGTTATTGTCTACAAGAATTGAACATCTAAGTGTCCATAAAGATTCTCACTCTCTTTCATTTTTAAGCCTTTCTGTCACCGCAAACAGTTCCTCAGCTTGTTGAAACACTTGGATCTGTGATATCACACAAAGGCTAGTGACACCCATCTGCACTATTTCTCTAACTCCTCTGGCATACGTTTCCTTTATGCTGTTCTTAAAAGGTCACTCAATGCAGGACTGTCTCTGTTTCTGTCCACTGTTTTATATACTGCTGACATAAATGATCAATTTAAGACAGAAAATGTGTCATAGGGTGATGCCTGCACCAGACAAGAAGCTCAGCCTGATTAAACCTTTCTTGCAACAGTGTGAAATGCAAAAAGTACAAACATGGCTATTTTAAAAACTGACCAGTCTTATATTTATGTAGGTGCTGTGCATTTGTTTGCATTGATGAGAGAAGCTTTTTTCAATGCCCTGCTCTTAGAACATAAGTCTTCAACCCTGCTCCTGGGGACCCACTGTCCTGCATAGTTCAGCTCCAACCCTAATCAAACACACCTGAACCAGATAATCAAGGTCTTCAGGATCACTTGTAAGGCCAGATGTGCTGGTTGGAAACAAACTTTGCAGGACAGTGGGTCTACAGGAGCAGGGTTGAAGACTTATGTCGGGTATTTTCAAAACCACAGCTTTTTCTATGCAGTTTGGCCGCCCATACACACGCAAACTAGGGTTGGGCCGATAGACGATGCCATCGTCCATCGCCGATGGCTGACAGACATCACGATGTTAAGATGACATCTTCGGGGATTATTCTGCCCCATGTCAGAACAGGCTCACTAACATAACTAATTACAGTTCAATCCAGCAGTTTCCATAGTCCTATAATGTCAGACGGTTGGGTGGTTTAATCACTCTGGCTGGATAACGTCTGACCTGCGCTGGTGGAATGTCGAGTTTGCCATGCTTTGTCTGAGACTCTGTTAATGTGTCGCCGTTAACATCTTGTTCCTTTGTTGGTGGTGCAGATGAAGTGGCATTTACAGAGGTCTGCACCGGAACAGACACATTCTTGTTATCAGGTAATTCTGTCAACTGAGTTTCAGCTGTTTGGTTTGGAATGGACAAAAGTTGATCAGCATGACACCTCCATTCCTCAGAAGCACCTACATCCACAGTATAAGATACTGGACCACTCTGAGCCATCACCATTCCTGATGTCCATCTCTCTCTCCCCCTGTAATCACAAGCCAGCACAACATCACCTACTCCAAACTGTCTCTGCTTTGAACGACCAGCTCGCCAGAGAACCTGAGAGGTCTGTGAGAGTCGCACAGCAGCTGTCACACTGGGTTTTAAGGCATCAAGACGTGTGCGCAACTGGCGTCCCAAAAACAACAGGGAAGGGGACTCTTTTGTCGTCGGATGTGGTGTGTTGCGGTACGTCAGCAAAAATGTTTCCAGCCGTTTCTGAAGAGTAGAAGAGCCCTTAGAAGCCTTCAGTGCTTGTTTTAGTGACTGAACAAACCTCTCAGCCTGCCCGTTAGTTGCCGGATGATATGGGGCAGAACGGATATGTTTCACATGGTTGGCCTTCAGGAAATTTGCAAACTCCTGAGAGACAAATTGTGGTCCATTGTCGCTCACAAGAACTTCAGGCAGACCATAATGACTGAAGAGGTTCCTCAAAACTCCAATTGTTTTTTCTGCTGTCGTTGATGTCATCAACTGCACCTCAGGCCACTTTGAATGTGCGTCAACCACGACCAGGTACATGTGACCCTCACACGGCCCAGCAAAATCTACATGTATGCGCTCCCATGGTTTGCTTGGCCACTCCCATGGGTGGAGGGGTGCTTGGGATGGCATTTTCTGTATTTGTTGACATGACTGACACATTTTCACTTGCAGTTCAATGTCAGCATCAAGACCCGGCCACCACACATAACTGCGAGCAATGGCTTTCATTCGGACAATTCCTGGGTGGCCAGTGTGCAGTTCCTCCAGCACCCTTTTCCGCAGCTTGTGAGGAACAACGACTCTCATACCCCGCATTAAGCACCCGTGTTGGACAGAAAGTTCATCACACTTGGAGAGTCACTCATAGTCTCACGTCGAATATCAGTGGCACTGACAGGGAGCTTCTCTACCTGTCCGAGGTAGAACAGCTCTACAGCATCCTTTTTCTCTTTGTGTTCCACTTGTAATGGCAGATGGGAAAGACCATCAGCATTTGCGTGATGTTCAGCTCTTTTGTACTCGATGGTGTAGTTGTGCGCAGACAAAAGTAATGCCCACCTTTGCATACGTGCCGCCGCCATAGATGGAATTCCATTTTGTGGCCCAAAGATCGTAGTAAGGGGGCGGTGATCTCTAAAAAGTGTGAATTTTCATCCGTAGAGATACTGCGTTGGCCGTGCAGCTTTTGCTCTGTTTCCACTCTTTGTTTTTCTGTCATTGTTACTCTTCCTGCAAACGCGACTGATATGGCCCTTTTTTTCACATGTATTACAATATTTGTCCTTAAACCAACAGTCATCATCATTATGGTTGTCCTTTCCACATCGTTTACATTTGTTGTTTGACGTCTTAGTCTTTGATAAAGACTTTACCGTCAGTGATCCGCTGAGTTGGTGCGCTTCGTGTGACGCTGTTTCCATGGAGACCGCCAACTCCACTGCTCTTTGAAACATCAGCGTAGTTTCAGTCAACAAGCGCTTTTGTGTAGCCTCACTCTTCAAGCCACACACAAATCTATCGTGAAGTGCATCATCCAAATGTCCCCCAAATTCGCAGTGTTCTGATAGTCCTCTAAGCACTGCAACATACTGTGTCACCGACTCGCTCTCCTCCTGATTCCGCCGATGGAAACGAAAACATTCCGCGATGATCAGGGGCTTCGGAGAAAAATGTTGCTGTAGAGTGTCTGTGATGTGTTTAAAGCTCTTCTCTCTCGGCTTATCCGGCGCAATCAGACTTCGGAGTAATCCATATGTTTTTCCTCCAATCACGCTGAGTAGCACAGGCACTTTCTTTTTGGCATCAATGCTGTTAGCTTCTACAAAGTACTCAAATTTTTCAATATAGGTGGTCCATGGTTCGACACTTTCATCAAAAGCTTCAATATGGCCTATAATAACAGCCATTCTATCTAACCTAGCTCACTTTAGCTTCGCAGAGAAAATAAAATAAAAGTTCAGGTGCGCCTAACTACTCACGATTCACTGTGGTAGCTTCCTGGAAAATTAATCCACCTCGTCGCCAAATATGTTATGTTTTCACTATCATAACATGTAGAATACATTCTTGAATGCACTACGATAAATAACACAGCCACACTGTGGTACTTAACTTCTTAACTTGCTTTATTTAAAGGAACACAACTACTAATAATTACTAAAGTGGTGGTGCCACCTACAGGCACTATGGAGAATGACAGTATCACATACATAACACAAATCATTCGCCATCGTCCTATCAGACATGTCTCCTTACTCTGTGTATGTGGTAAGTGAACTTTCATGTACTGTAATGCAACAGGCTACCGCTAGCAAGCGGCTAACCTTTTAGTGGCTCCATATAACGCGTTATTTGTTTCACACTTCGGGCACACCCCTAACTCCCCCCTATCGTGTAGACATTTTGGCTTGT